TTTTTTTTTGTCTTTTTGAGGCAGGGTCTTGCTATGCAGTTCAGGCTGGCCTTGAGCTCACTTTGTAGCTCAGACCGGTCTCAAACTCATGACGACCCTCCTGCCTCAGCCTCCCAAGTGCTGGGATTACAGGTGTGTGCCACCACGCCTGGCTAGTAGGGAAGTTCTAAGCCAGGTTTGCAGGAGAAAGGGAAGGCTTGAGGTGCAGCGGGAGGACTTACCTTCTCAGAAGTACTGGTCCCTTTCTGAATGGCCTCCTCCACAATGATCTCGAACACATCCCGGAGCCAGGCCTCCGCAGCCTTCGGGTCCCCATCGAGGGAAGGCAGTGGTTTCGAGTCAGCCATTAGGATAAAATCTGCCTGCAGAGCAAGAGTCACTCCCTACTCAGGCTGGACCTAGACAGCAAGACCCTCTACCCCAGCTGGCCCCAGGGCCCAGAGCCTGTAGCTGAGCCCTGCCCTTCAGTGCACAGATAAGGGCAAGTGATAATGCAGAGAGAAAGCCAGAGGAAACAGCTGGAAGAGAAAAGGAAGCATTAGCTGCTGAGCAGGCGGACTGATTGGCCACTGTCCTCTTGAGGCAGAGAGGAGAAGCTTACCTTTCTGCTCTAGTCTCTGTTCAGGCAAGGTACACAATAAGCTTTCTAGACTATTAGGACCAAGACAGCAGAGGGAGGGAGGAAAAACCAGCCGTCACATGGCCATAGTACAATGCTCATGACCCTTGCCCGAAAGAGAACTTTCACAGACTTGGGACGGGGACAGCAGGTTAAGTTCCTGGAGTAATCATTAGCTGACAGAAGTAGAGGAGGAGATAAAAGAAAGGCAAAAAGGGGCGGGTGGCACATTAACCTCAAGGTTGAGAGGGGCAGGGAGCCCATGCGCAGCACAGGGGAAAGGATTGCCACCATGAATACCGGCACCCAGAGTGAGGCACGGGAGATATCCAGAGGGACAAGGTCCAGCAGCTGGCCCAGGACATGGGGAGGGAGCCTGAGACGTGGAGATAAAACAGCTTAAGCAGTCCTAGAGGCCAATGTCTCTTGCATCCCAACCCCAAGTCTTCACAACTGTGCTGATGTCCAAGGCCTTCTCCTAGAGACAGTCATGGAGGGAGGATTTTATTACGCAAATCCTAGGCTATCCGAGCTGGCACGGAGCACTCCTATCTCTCGAGGGTACAGGCACACACAGCAGTCATAGGCCAGGGCAGGACTGGATGCAGACCCTGAGTCCTCAAAATTTAGGAAAAGAGACCTGGGAAGCTAAAGACCGAGGGAGACCCACAGGAGGATGGAGGCGGAGTCTCGAGATGGGGCAGGAGAAATGGGACGGGTGAAAGGGAGGAGAGGGGCGCGCAGGGTAGGGAGAGGTCTGCCACAACCTTACACTGCGGCGAGAGAGGAGAGCTGGTCCCAGGGTCAGTGAAGGTGCCACTGGCGGGAATACAGGAGCCGATGCAGCGTGGGCAGAGCCGCATGAGGCCGTGGTGAGTTTTGAGTGCCAGCCAGGCCAAGGAATCTAAATTTTACCCTACAGAAGAGGGGAACTCACCGAAAAGGGTCTGTGGCGGGGAACAACGTGATCAGACAGACGCGTTCAGAAGACTGCTTTATAGCAGCAGGATGCAGGAGAATTAACAGGCAAGAGGTGATCCACACTTGCACAACGGCAGGGTGGGGAGGAGAGCACACGGAAGAACCTGCAGCTGCAGGCTTGGTCACTCCCTGCATTGCACTTAGGGCAACGCCTTTTTTTTTTTTTTTTTTTTTTAAGAGACAGGGTCTTGCTATGTAGTTCAGACTGAACTCACCGGGTAGCCCACGCTGGCCTGAAACGTGCAGCAATCCTCCCACTTGAGCCAAGTGCTGGGATTACAGGCATGCACCACCAGATGTGGCTCATGGGCAAAAGTTTTAGAATCTATGTTGAAAGAGAAGGAAGAGTCAAACACCAGGGGTTTTGTGCCTGAGTGACTGGAAAAATGGTAGTCCTGAAATATGGATCTGGAAAGGAAAAACTAGATGGAAAATAAAACAGTGATTTCTTGGAAATACTTGTTCAGGTGGAGGCCTTCTGAGGCTATAGATAATCACTGGGAAAAGTTGGGCCTAGAGTTCTGACGAGACCAGAAGGAAAAGCAGATGTGAGACTCCACCCACCACCAGGGACGGTGGGACTGACAGGCAAACACCAGGGCTGGAGGACTCTGCCCAAGACAGGAGAACCCGGAACAGGTGGGCTGCTCAGACATACTCCACCGGCAACGGCTACTGGGACTCGTGCCAGGTGGAAACACAAAGCAGGTTTGGCGGAAGGATGGGAGGGCCAGGGAGTTCAAGGAAGCCTGGTAGTGTGTCTATCCTCAGACATTTCCTGAGTAAGTGGGTTTGAGGAGAACGGCAGCACCAGCCTGGGCCTTGAGAATGGAGGAGCCCAAGCAATCAAGCCAGTGCCTCTCATGATGGTAGAAGTCAAGAGGTTAATACAAATCTGCCCTGAGGGCCGGGGATATAGCTTAGTGGCACAAGCGCCTGCCTAGCAAGCACAAGGTCCTCAGTTCAATTCCCAGTACCAAAGTGAGCTCAGGCCAACCTGAACTGCATAGCGCGACCCTGTCTCAAAAAGACCAAAACAAAACAAAGCAAAACAAAAAAAAAATCGGCCTGTGCAGAGCCAGGCATGGTGGCCCATATGTGTAATCCCAGCTATTCAGGAGGCTGAGGCCAGAGGATGACAAGTTCAAGGCCAGCCTGGGCAACTTAGTGAGTTCAAGGCCAGCCCTGTCTCAAAATAAAAAAATATTTGTGGTGATACTGCTCAATGGGAGAGCATCCCTGGGTTCAGTCCCCAGTACCATGAAAAAGATAAAAATCAACCAGGCAGGGGCTAGGGATTTAGCTCAGCGGCACAGCACCTGCCTGACAAGTGGGAGGTTGTGAGTTCAATTCCTAGTACCAGAAAAAAACAAACAAACAAACAAACAAACAAAAATATCAACTAGGCATGGTACAGCAAGATTGTAATCCCAGCACTCTGGGAGCCTGAGATGGGAGGACTGCAAGTTAGAGCCCAGACAAGGCAACTGAGAGACTTAGTGAGACCCTGTATCAAAATTTAAAAAGGTCTGGAGATATAACTCAGTGCAAAGGCCCTGTGTTCAATCCCTAAACTGCAAAAATAAAAATTAAAAAAAGGCCCTCTGGGCTGTGATGCAACTTAGTGGTAGGAAGCTTGCCTAGCTTGCATGAGGCCCTGGGTTCCATCTCCAGCACTGCAAAAATAAACAAAAAATAAGTCCCACTTCAGTCCTTACCACACGACACCCTCTGTACTTAAAATACATTACGCCGGCCTTCACAGCTGTTTAGGGCCAACTTCCTACTAGCACTTAAAGGAGGAATCTGACTTTCTGAGATACCATGTACTTTGTCCCAGTCACACAGCCAGTACATGGCAGAGCTGGGCTGAGACATGGGTGTGTCTGGCTCTGAGGCCTCTAACCATCATGCTTTGTTGCCTCATGCTTGGCTCCCTGTGTGTTTAGCTGCGCCCTGCTTCTCCTTTCAAGACAACTAGTGCTTCCCTTCCTGATCCTTCTGGGCTTCTCCCTGAAGCACAAGCTTCTGCAAACACACTGTACCAGCACAAGCTTCTGCAGACACACTGTACCTGGCTAACCCAGGCACCACTTTCCTCTGCCTTCTCTATTCAATCATTATTGACAGCTCCGTCACCTCTTGTCTCTCTTCTCAGCTGCCTTATTTTTCTGGATCTAAACTCTTACTGATGTCACCTTTGTAAGCTTTCAGGAGGAGTGATGGCAGATGCTATGTATCTAATCTGCTGTGTTTAACTGGAATGAGTGCACAGACCACGAATTTATAGTGACACCCATTTAGAAATTTATGTGTTTCGCTTTTTTATTTATTTTTCAGCACTAGGGACTGAACCAAGGGTTTGTGCACTAAGCTACATCACCAGCGCTTTTTTTATTTCTTTATTTTAAGACAGGGCTTGCTAAGTTGCTAAGTTTCTCAGAGCAGGCTGGAACTTTTGATCCTTTTGCCTCAGCCTCCCAGAGTGCTGGGATTAGAGGTGTACATCACCACACCTGGCTTCCGTATATGCTTTTGCCTAGCAGCATCCACTAGGCCTGGCGAATTCGGTGGGACAAAGAGGGGCCGGCTGGATGGGGGTTTAATCTGCTTGATTTGGTGGAAGGACAGTAGGGCCAGGGAGTTCAAGATATTTGGAAGGCAACGGGTAAAACAAGGGATCACGTAATCTAGGTTGGATATACACAGTCAGGAAAGATATGAGGGAGTTTGTGGCTAGACAATACAGGCTAGCAGTCTCATAAGCCAGAAAAAACTTGTGCATTTTAAAACAAAACAAACTGCACAAACTGAAAACATGTCCTAATAAAGTTAAAAATTAAAAATAAACAAACAAAACAAAGCAAATATTGCTGGGTTCTACAAGCATCTTCTCAGCTGGGGACCAAAGCACATTCCTAATTCTGTTCATAGTTCTTTGCCTATCTGTCTACCTTGTGGAGATTAGATGAAAATCTGTATAAAACAGTTATGCTCATTCTCCTCCCTCTGCGCATTCAACCAGCAACGCCCCTTCTGTCTCCCTTTCCAAAGGCAGATTATAGTATCAGTCCTGGACAATGGAAGATCCCAAGATTTCCCCAGACAACGGAAGCCTGAAACGCTTCCCAAGACAAAACAAACAGATACCAGGTCACAGGCAAAGGACAGAGGGCCAGAGGGCAACACCTTTCTCTAATATGGAGACAGGTGAGAGAATCCCCAGGAGTGTAATGAAATTAGTAACTGTCTTCAGTGCAAAACATAGTGGCTACGCTCAGCCAGAAACGCAATACTACCTGGTGACACTACTATGTTTCAGTTGATGGCTCTGTCTCAAATTCTCTTAGCAGCTATTTCAAAAATTTTCCAAACCTCTTGAATTACTGACTCGCTGAACTTCTCCCTCCTTGTCTCATTTTTCAAATTTCCTGGAGAAAAGTAAAGCTTATTCTGCACAAGCCTGTAATATCAGCCCTCAGGAGGCTGAGGCAAGAGGATCACTGTGAGTTTGAGGCCAGTCTGGGCTATACGGTGAGTTCAAGGCCAGCCTGAACTACACAGTGAGACCCTGTCTCAAAAAGCCTCAGGGTGGTACAGTGCTTGCCTAGCATGTAAGAGGGCCTGGGTTCAATCTCTAGCACCACACACAAAAATAACAAAAGAAGAACTGTCAACAATGAAAGATATTTCAGGAAAAAATACTGATATCCAGGTTCTTGTGGAAAAAAAGATCAGAAGACATGGCAACAATCAGCCTTGAAAGGAATGTCGGGAAGTTGCCACACAAAAAATAAATAAATAAATAAAAAGTAAAATGGGCTGGGCATATAGCTCAGTGGCTCAAGTGCCTGACTAGCAAGTGCAAGGTCATGAGTTCAATTCCTAGTACCAAAAAATAAATAAATAAATAAATAATCAGCCTTAATTAATAAATAGGAAAAAGCAGCTGTAGTTGGAGCTGGCCTTTTATTATTATAGTTTTACAATTTCATCATGATTTCTTTTTAGCTTTTAACTTAAGCAATACACTCACACAGTTCAAAAATCAAAACACAAAAACGTTAATATAGCAAGAAACTCAATTCCCACTCCACTCCGTATCCCCCACTCCCGCTCTAACCCACACAGCTTATAAAATAACCATTTTTATTAGTTTCCTGGGTGCCCTTCCAGAGTTCTTAGTGCACCTTTTTTTCCCCTTAATGCACATTTTAACAAATATAGATGGATATTCTTATTTCTCCCTTTTCACACAAAAGACATTATCATTCTTCTGCACCTTCCTTTTTTTCAGTTAACAAAATAAGGGTGATCTTATTAAGAAAAAAAAAAAATATATATATATATATATATATCTTCCTGATTCTTTTCGAAATGTAACAGCTTTATTGAAATATAATTTACACACCACAAAGTATATCCCTTTAAAGTGTACGATTCAGGGGCCGGGGAAATAGCTCAGTAGCACAGCGTGTGCCTGGCAAGCACTAGGTACTGAGCTCAATTTCCAGTACCAAAAATAGATGAATAAATAAATAAAGTGTACAATTCCATGGGTTTCCATTAGTCACGAACCTGCACAGGTATTATCACTAACTCTGGGACATCTTCCTCACCCAGTAAAAAACTCTGTTCCTCCCACCCCCATCTTCGGGCAACCACTAATCTATTTTCCATCTCTAGAGATGTGCAGAGACGCGTCACATAAAAGAGATCGGCATAGGGACTCTCCTGACTGGCCTCTTTCATCCAGCACGTTTCCAAGGTTCGTTCACACTGTAGCCGATGTCAGTGTTCCTTTCCTTTTTATGACTGAATTCTAGCCATTGTGTGAATATACTACTTTTTGTTTACCCATTTATCTGTTCATGGGCATTCCCATTGTTTCTACATTTTGGCTATTACAAATGCTGCTATGAACATCTGTGTACAAGATTTTGTGTGGATGTGTTTTCAATTCTCCTGGGTACACTCCAGTAGTGAAATTACTAAGTCATATGGTAACTCTATGCTTCAACTGTTGTTGTTGTTGTTGTTGTTTGAGACATGGTCTGGCTATGTATTCCATGTTGGACTCGAACTTACTACATACCCCAGGCTAGCCTTGAACTTGCGGTGATCCTCCTGCCTCAGCCTCCTGAGTGCTGGGATTACAGGCATGCACCACCACACCT